TAGAGATTGGACATATTTGTGATAGTCTTCGACGTAGCGCTTCAAGCTCAAGGCTTTGTCCTGGTTGATGTTCTTCCCCAACTTCTGTGGAAACAAAAAAAACACAGGGCTAATCATTTCTGTCGCTTCAAAATGCTAAACGTGTATGCATTTCATCCTTGAACATAATGGTTTGTTTTCCTCGCCATGAACATAATTAGTTCTGGCAGGAGAGCAACGCGCCGGTTCACTATCAAACACTCAAGTTTCTACGTATGAGTACATCTCTTCAGAACTGCAATCAAGTGTACGATAACTGCCGCATCGACAGTCTTTCTCATCAAAGCCACCCACATGTCTTATAACTCCTCTAAAGCTGCTGATGAAAGGAGCAGATGGTTTGTTCTGCGTTTGGTGTCAGCTCCACTGAGTCCTCTGTCAGATCATTTACACCTCCTTCCCTCCAAACGCCACACTGGAGCACGCTGGTCTGCAACACATGCCACACTGACTGGCAGTGTGCAGAAAGTGCCACTTTTGAGGCTCCAATTATAAAACAAATCTCAAAGGTAATGAAGCAATTACGACCTGTTGTTCAAGTCTTGAGGAGTAGGGCCAAAAACAAACCAAAATGGAAAATGCTGTGTTCATGTGTTTCTGTCTAAGGCAGCTTTTCCTATAAAATACATCATTTTTTTATCCTACAATACAAAACTCGAAATCTTGCCAAGTGTATTTGTCTAATATCTAGTCAGAATAGTCTTTACCACCTGATCTAAGACATAGAGCGGTGCAGTGACGAGTCCTAAAAACCCGGAGGTGAGGTCAGCATTTCACCACTTCCTGTTCCCTCGTCTCAGAGCCAATGGGATCTCTCCATAGGGTTTAGGAAACTATCTGGAACTAAGCTCTGTGGTTGAGCACATTGAAGAGACGGATAACGTTTTGTTCTACGATATTAAATCCATCAGCAGTGACCCCACCTTTATAGCATAACGTTAGCATTTTGCTTCTGGACATTAGATTTATGATTCAAAAAGTAGGGTCGACACGTGGAGATTATCCGGCTGAACAAAACGTGCATTTATCAAACAGGTTCGTTTTCCACAGATCTTATCTCGAGCTATTTTCCTAAAACCCTCTGGAGAAATCCCGTTGCTTTTTTGTCGAGGGAACCCGCAGCTCACTTCCGGGTAAATACGTCCTCCCTGCACTGCTCCATAACTTCAGAAGTCACACTGCAGTGAGATATCGGGTCTTGTTTTTAGACCGCATCATCTTGTTCAGTCAAAACATCTTATTTTGAGTCGTATCTCAGATGAAACTTGGAACATCACTAACGTCAGAAAACAGAAACACTTTTGTGCATTCGCGGCTTATATTGTAACAACATTTCCTGATTCTGGTGAAATATAGTTCAACATGTGTTCTCCCAGCTAATTACAAGATCTGCTTTATCGAAATATCCCTTTAAAAAAAATGCACTTGTTCTATTGGCTGATTTTTATACGTAAGTGAAAACATCTTGTTTTTGGAGCAGCATTTTTTCCAGTGTAAATATCTTGGTTTCTTCTTTCCTAAGGTCACGTTGTTCTGTTGTCTGACTCAGTAAGAATCATTTCCTTTTATTTATTTGCATTGAATTTGATATTGCGTTAATCCAAAAGTAACAGAAGGTAATCAGATTGCTTTCACATTGTGATACTAAGATGACTGCTTGCAGGTAACTAGTAATCACTAAACAGGATAATGTCTCGCCCTGAGATGAAGTGTGCCAAAAGGTGCCACTTCTGAGGCTCCAATTAAAACAAATCTCAAAGTACTGACGCAACTACGGCCTGTTGTTCAAGTGGTGAGGTCCAAAAATAAACCAAATTTGAAAATGTATCCTAACACGTACCCAAATGAGGCTTTGTTCCAGTTTCCTTTTGTCAAGGGACGTGCTGAGAAAACACTGTTCTACTAACTCTTTTAATTTGCTGCACCACACAGGATTATTGTATTAAAACCATAGACTGTATATATAGATTAAAACGTGATGTCGTGCAAAACTAATGTATTTTATATCAAGGTTTTTCCAATGTAAAAAAAAGTCAACTTTATTGTCAATCTCAAAATATGTTTGTACACACAGAAAGATCGAAATACTGTTTCCCACAGTCCCGAGGTATAAAAAACTCACACATTAAAATGCAAGAACACTCAATGATTTACAAAAACCCCACAAAATAACAGTTTACTTGAGTAAGCAGGATATATAAAAAAAGATGATGTACAAATGGAAGTGCAAAAATTGTCCATAGCAGCGTGAAAGTATGTTTGAATGTATATGTTTTGTGAAAAAACGAGTGACTTATTCTAATGGGACCATGATCTGTGAGAGGTGAATAACACAATTGCACTAAATATTGATTTCATTGATAGTAATAAAAGGTACAAACTATACAAATAAGGATTTTGGGGTTTCTGACCATTTGGGATGATTAAACATGCACTGGGTCACATTGTATATGACTTTAACTACATCATATACAATGTTGTTTTTAATCTGTAAAGCCCACTGAGATGAACGTGTTTTGTGATATTGGGCTATACAAATAAAGTTTGATTTGATTAACCCAGGAATATTATTGCTGCAACATAAAAAACGAATATGACAGGAGGGTTAAATAAATGATCCAGAGCTACAGGAGTCTCTGTTTCTGTTAAACATCTGAACTTTTGGAAGAACATCCATAACATTCATCTGTTTTTGGTGTGAAAACACTGAGTGTCCTCTTCCAACATGAGAGTCACGTGATAACAAAGGTATCCCAACTGTAGCTGTGAACATGACAGGATGTGTGATTACCTAGAAGAGCATCAGGACTGTTTGAGGCATATGAGAGCTATGTGATTAACATGATGATTCAGCCTCTATGGAGAGAGACATCAAGCATGCTCATTTCTGACGTGGAGCTAATCTGAAGTAAACATTGAATACTGCTTTCTATTCCTCCATCTTGTGACTGTGTAACTCCCTCTCTTGGATATCAGCATGTGAAGGACACTGTTCAGGAACTAGTTGATGCTCTGTATGTGATGACTACTTCCATTCTGGAGAGGATCACAGATACATGGATCCTGAGGTTGAAGCTCAAGACGATGACGAGGGATAATTTCCAACAGTTTGCAACTTACAAATTATCTAATATAGCATATTCCAATTACTTGTATATAGACTCTCCTTACACTAATTCTATTCTATTTTATTTGTATTTACTTGTACTATTTAAACTATTTTATCTGTTGTATTGTGTTGCATTGTTGGAGGAGGCTGTGACCTCAGATTTTCATTATATCTACACTGTAGCTATCTATGCACACATGACAAGAAAAGCCTTGAATCTTGGTTGCTTCTCACCGATGGCGATGTCTGTCCTCCCGATGTGATGCAGGGCTCGAGTCAGCCTGTCTTGGTACGTCTGCTCTCCGTTCTTCAGCAGCCAGTCAGTCAGCGCCGCCCGGCACTTTGCCTCCAGATCTGAGAAACACAAAGCATCTGGCCGTCAGACAGGAAGGTTTCTGACAGATAGACTGCTGCAAGAAGCTCCTGCAGCAGAGGAGGAGCAGAGAGAGAAGTACACATCCTTTACTCAAGTAGAAGTATAGATACTCATGTCTAGAAATACTCTGGTGAAAGTAGAAGTACTTACTAAACTTCTTTACTCAAGTCAAAGTAAAGAAGCTTTGAAATGTACTTCAGTAAAAAGTACCCATAACTAGCAGCTGTTTTAAAGAGTACCTGACCTCCCTTTATATTAATAGAACAATAATGTCATTGTTAGCTAATGAATGTTTTCCATGCTGAACAACGGCAACATGACAACGTTTCCATTGGTCCCTCTTCTTTAGAGAGACCAGGAAATGATGGATACACGGATCGTGTTCAAATCAATAGGCACGCAATGACTCTAAAGAATAATGATCACGCATCAAACACACATTCAGACTAAAGGAACCAGCTGTTTGGAAATGAGAGAAGTAGAAAGTACAGGTATTTGAGTTCAACATGTAAGAAGTAGAAAGTACAGGTATTTGTGTTCAACATGTAAGAAGTAGAAAGTACAGGTATTTGAGTTTCAACATGTAAAGAAGTAGAAAGTACAGGTATTTGTGTTTCAACATGTAAGAAGTAGAAAGTACAGGTATTGTGTTCAACATGTAAGAAGTAGAAAGTACAGGTATTTGGTTCAACATGTAAGAAGTAGAAAGTACAGGTATTTGGGTTTCAACATGTGAGAAGTAGAAAGTACAGGTATTTGAGTTCAACATGTAAGAAGTAGAAAGTACAGGTATTTGAGTTCAACATGTGAGAAGTAGAAGTACAGGTATTTGAGTCAACATGTAAGAAGTAGAAAGTACAGGTATTTTGTGTTCAACATGTAAGAAGTAGAAAGTACAGGTATTTGTGTTCAACATGTAAGAAGTAGAATAGAAGTACAGGTATTGAGTTCAACATGTAAGAAGTAGAAAGTACAGGTATTTGAGTTCAACATGTAAGCAAGTAGAAAAGTACAGGTATTTGGGTTCACATGTAAAGAAAGTAGAAAGTACAGGTATTTGAGTTCAAACATGTAAGAAGTAGAAAGTACAGGTATTTGGGTTCAACATGTGAAGAAAGTAGGAAAGTACAGGTATTTGAGTTCAACATGTACGAAGTAGAAAGTTACAGGTTTTGTGTTCAACATGTAAGAAGTAGAAAGTACAGGTATTTGTGTGTCAACATGTAAGAAGTAGAAAGTACAGGTATTTGTGTTCAACATGTAGAAGTAGAAAGTACAGGTATTTGTGTTCAACATGTAGAAGTAGAAAGTACAGGTATTTGAGTTCAACATGTAAGAAGTAGAAAGTACAGGTATTTGTGTTCAACATGTAGAAGTAGAAAGTACAGGTATTGGGTTCAACAGTAAGAAGTAGAAAAGTACAGGTATTTGAGTTCAACATGGTAAGAAGTCAGAAAGTACAGGTATTTGGTTCAACATGTAGAAGTAGAAAGTACAGGTATTTGTGTTCAACATGTAAGAAGTAGAAAGTACAGGTATTTGTGTTCAACATGTAGAAGTTAGAAAGTACAGGTATTTGTGTTCAACATGTAAGGAAGTAGAAGCATAACGGTATTGTGTTCAACATGTAAGAAAGTAGAAAGTACAGGTATTTGAGTTCAACATGTGAGAAGTAGAAAGTAAATGTAAGAAGTAGAAAGTACAGGTATTTGGGTTCAACATGTAAGAAGTAGAAAGTACAGGTATTTGGGTTCAACATGTAAGAAGTAGAAAGTACAGGTATTTGTGTTCAACATGTAAGAAGTAGAAAATACAGGTATTTGGGTTCAAAATGTAAGAAGTCAAAGTAAAAAGTCAAAGTTTCTCAATGTCGAGGACGCTTGTTTGGTAGTACATGTACCTCCGAGTCACTTGCTTCAGAAGCGAGGCAAGAATCTTCCCTAGCCTCGGAAAACGAAGAATGGTGGAACAGGCTAACAGGTGTGCAGGTGTGCGTCATATGCGAGGCCCCGCCTTAAATGGAGCGCGATTTCCGCCAAATATTTGGAAATTGGTCCGTGCGCAAAGCATTGTGGGGATTTTAAGACCGCGGAGTCTACACATGTGCAGCCTCGAAATTTCTCGCTACGAAGTACGCTGGCCTCGGTAGAATTCCAAGTACGCTGGACATTGGAACAGTCCTTCGGCGGCACTCGATGACCTAGTATACTTGAAATAGTGGCTCTGGAGCAGCCTTCCTCGACATTGAGAAACACCCCCTAAACCCAACAGGAAGTCAGCCATTTTGAATTGTGTGTGTTATTTTTAATGTATTTGGGCTATTTTCAGGCCCCGTAACTCAACACAAACTCCTCCAACAGATTTAACTTAGATAGACTTCACATTTGGTCACTTTTACCATGTGATGAAGACTTTAATGCATCAACAATTATAATATAATAATGTTAAATATACTGTATGGTACTTAAACGTGCCATTTTGCATAATAAGTACTTTTACTTTTGGTTCTTAAAGTATATTTTGATACTCATACTTTGGTACTTTTGCTCACAATTTTGAATGCAGGACTTTTACTTATAACTGGGTATTTTTACACTGTAGTTTTCCTACTTTGGGCACTTCTTGCACCCCTGGTCAATCTCTATCTCCTCCAGTCAGTCTCTACAGTCACAGTATGGTTAATATTCTAGTGCTCTTTCCATTCCTTCCTATAATGCTTATTTAGTAGATGAGGAGGAGTACTGACCCTGAGATGAAGAGGTGTCTCTCTTGGCTCGAGGTTTCAGATCTAGTTGATTATTTTCCGGTGCGAGGCGTTCGAGGTGCTGGAAGATGTTCTCCTCGGGGTGAGACAGGGTCCTCAGAAGATCCTCACACTCTCTAGACGTCAACATCTCCACTAACCTCTGCAGCTGATGGACGCCAATGTCCTCTGCCACTGATAACACATTATAAACAAGTGATATAATAACTCTAGGATCAGTTTAGCCCACAGGACAGAGGCTTGTGTGAACTGTCACAAGAACGCATGACCATCAGTGGGGCTGACACTTCACAACGCTCTGCAGCATGCTTTCAATTAGCAAGTGTGTGGCGTGAAGCTGTCATGTTCATCTGCTCAGAATAGAAACTGAAATATCACAAACAGAGGAATCAGCGTTTCTGTGTGCTGATGCAACAGGACAGGCTCGGGAAGTAATGGATTACAACAGCAAGGGGTAATAAAGGTAACCCCTTACGACCAGGATTACAGTGTCAGTAAAAACCTAAGAATATCATATAGTGTTTGTTATACAGTAAAGGATTAGATGTTATCTCTAGTGAAATCTCACTTTTTTCAGATTCCTGACTGTTTCATTATTTTAACATCTTTTTCAAAATTCTCCAAGATCTCACTTTTGGGAAATAATTCGGATTTAAAAAAAAAAAAATCTGACATTTTTAACCAAATTTCGATTTTGTTCATCAATCCAAATTTCCGACAATTTCCTCCCCAAAAATCCCAAATGTTTCCAAAAAATCTCACTTTTTTCTTATTCCTCACTTTTCTTTCACATAATTCTCACTTTTCTTCATTTTTTTTAAATGTTCATTCTTTTCTTTTCAAATTCAATTATTTTTTTTCAAAATTCTCGCTTTTTCCCTAAAATCTCCCTTATTTCAAATTCCTGACCTTCTACATAATTCTAATTTATTTTGCAAAATTCTCGCGATTACATGTAAAGTCAAAGCAGAGACAGACGCGAATTCTCTCCGACGGCACGCCGTTGATGTGAATGCCGCGGCGCGATTGAAGGGGTCAGCGACTACCGCTCGAGTTCGCATGACGCGTAACCAATCAGCGGTGAGGATCTCCGCCTGCCGTCACTGACGTTGAAAAAGAAAACCAAAACATCAGCCGTTAGCTTGTTAGCACTCAGAGCTCACAGCTCCTCATATCTGTTCAGAAACTAGACAAAAGTTAAACAAGTACAAACCACAGACTGTCTGTGTCATGACGAATACAGTCGCTGGTTTATTTATGTCTGTATAGGCCGTTGTTGTGAGTGTGTACGGTCGGAGCATACTGCGCTAGCTTAGCCAAGTTCCATTTAGAAAACACGCATTTTAAAGGGTTTTTCGCCTGCCGTCTGTCTGCAGACTTGTCAAAGCATTAATTCATGGTTTTTACTAACCGGTATCCGTATGTTGTTACTTCGGCATCATTTTGAAACGTGTATTACAATTAAATCACGGTCAAATATGTTCATTGCGTTGTAGTTGTAGCCCCCTAGCCAGCGCGTCTTGTTTGAATGATGCGAGTAAACACAGCTGACACTGACAGCCACGGTGAAAGTGGATTGTTTAGAGCGAGCACGTCCGGTGTGAACGCACCTTAAATCTCACTTTTTCTAAAAAGTTAATTTCTTCTGTTTTTAATTCAGCAGGTGAACCTATATGTTCCTAAAATAGTGTGCGTGAGCTTAACTGTGTGTATTACACTAAAACTGAGCATTTTCTGTCAGCTCAGATTTCTGCTTTTTTAAACTAGTATGTGCTCATGTGTTTCAGTGTTGGTGTATATGATTCATTTCTGATCCTAAATATTGTTTCTTCTTCTTTTCTAAGGTCACATTGTTCTGTTGTCTTACATTGAACACTTCAGTGAAAAACATATTTTTGATATTTCCTTTTTCTTTTATTTATTTGCATTGGATTTGATATTGAGGTCATCCAAAAGTAACAGAAAGTAATCAGGTTACTTTTACATTGTGATACTCAGATTACAGGTTGCATTATTTGTAAGGTAACTAGTAAACGGATCATTTCTCTCACCTGTGTCCTCGCCCTGAGAGGAACTCAGTTTGAGAAAGACGAAGAAGAGCCAGAGGTCCCAGTCTTTCATTTCAGATGAAGTTTAAAATAAATCCACACTGAACGTAAACAATGAAAGATAATGATGGTGGAGTTTATTTTCAAATATGGATCTAGAATGTGTCTTTTTTTAAAACAGCCAATCACCATGCAAGAGACATTTGTTAACTTCCAGAACATAGTGACATCACTACAGAACACTCACACTCCTATTGCTATCCAACACATTGCACGTGGCTAAAGGGGCGGGACATCTCTAAGCGGTTGACCAATCACAACAGAGCCGGCCAGCTAACCAATCAGAGCAGACTGGGCTCTGGTTTCAGACAGAGGGTGAAAAGAGGTGCTGCAGCACAGGCAGTATGAGAACATTAAAGAGCTTTCTGAACATTAAAGCATGGAGACATGTAGAGACACTACACACTGATAGACACCTGAACATCAGCAGGAGAGGACTCTTTAAAGTAGAGCCACTACATACTGATATACACCTGAACATCAGGAGGAGAGGACTCTTTAAAGTAGAGACACTACACACTGATAGACACCTGAACATCAGCAGGAGAGGACTCTTTAAAGTAGAGCCACTACATACTGATATACACCTGAACATCAGGAGGAGAGGACTCTTTAAAGTAGAGCCACTACATACTGATATACACCTGAACATCAGCAGGAGAGGACTCTTTAAAGTAGAGACACTACATACTGATATACACCTGAACATCAGGAGGAGAGGACTCTTTAAAGTAGAGCCACTACATACTGATATACACCTGAACATCAGCAGGAGAGGACTCTTTAAAGTAGAGACACTACATACTGATATACACCTGAGCATCAGCAGGAGAGGACTCTTTAAAGTAGAGACACTACATACTGATATACACCTGAACATCAGCAGGAGAGGACTCTTTAAAGTAGAGACACTACATACTGATATACACCTGAACATCAGCAGGAGAGGACTCTTTAAAGTAGAGACACTACATACTGATATACACCTGAACATCAGCAGGAGAGGACTCTTTAAAGTAGAGACACTACATACTGATATACACCTGAACATCAGCAGGAGAGGACTCTTTAAAGTAGAGACACTACATACTGATATACACCTGAACATCAGCAGGAGAGGACTCTTTAAAGTAGAGACACTACATACTGATATACACCTGAACATCAGCAGGAGAGGACTCTTTAAAGTAGAGACACTACATACTGATATACACCTGAACATCAGCAGGAGAGGACTCTTTAAAGTAGAGACACTACATACTGATATACACCTGAACATCAGCAGGAGAGGACTCTTTAAAGACAGGTCACAGTAGCATTTATTATTATCATTTAGATGTATTTTTGCAATAGTTTACTTTGCTCCTAAGACTTATACTCAAGTACAATTCTTTATGCAGTATTTGTAATGGAGTATTTGTACATTGCAGTATTAGCTCTTATTAGTAGGATCTGATAGCTTTTTCCACTTTATCAGGAAATGAAGTTTATTTTTTTCTGAGAAACACTAGACTTTCTGTTAAATGTTTTTTTTATTCATAAAGTATTTCTAGTCTTTAAAAGTTCCCTACATTATAACAAAATCACATTAAAACCCAACAACTGCTTATTTAGACTATATACATTTTAAAATGTTCATTCAATGTTAATTAATTGTTCACAAATCTCCACATGCAACGCTCTGTTTTTATTTAATTTAAAATGCTGACAAAGCCTTTATATAGAATCTGTATCATTGCAATGCAAAGTGTAAAACAGAAAACACTTGTAATGTCTTCCTCTATGATGTGCACTTGTTCCGCTTGAGATGCAGAGAGAAAACATTGCTCCAGTGAGGACATGTTTTCAATTGTTATTAAGCTTCATTTGCCAAACAGTAAAGGTTGTGTGTGTGGGCTGAGGCTCAAATTCTCAGTGTTTGCTAATGAACAAATAATAATAATCAAGCTCTGGGGCTGAGCGGCACAGAAAGTCGAGTGTGGGCGGAGGAATGGGTGCCGGTGGTGAAGAAAAAAGAAACTGGGCACGAGGTCAGGGATATTTATTCATATTAGACAGATGCTCAGTACAGTATTGATGAGAATACACAAAATATACAGCAGTTTCCAACATGCACAATGTAACTTTGAAATGCCTTCTGGTTGTGTGAGAGTTGTTTGTGCAGCAGTGTCCCCCATGTCTCTTACACTTCACACCACTGAAATCTGGTTGGATGCAGATACAGACTCCGGTGGAATGAAGGATAGAACACATGGGATAGTCTTGCACAAAAAAGTGTCTGGAAAAACAAGGAAAAAAACAAACACACAGGAGGGCGTGTGGCGCAGTGGATAGAGCCTTGGTGTTGGGATCAGGGGTCACAGGTTCAAACCCCACTGCGGTCAGCATGTCGTTGTGTCCCTGGGCAAGACGCTTCACCCCAAATTGCTCCTGTGGGGATTGTCCCCAGTACTGAATGTATGTAAGTCGCTTTGGATAAAAGCGTCTAACAAGTAATATGTAATACACATAAGTCCCTACAAAGTGAAGATTCTGCTTTCTTTATTGACTTTTCTCAAACAAAACTGGAGAAAATAGAGTCGACGTGGAGAACATGTAAAGAAAACACGGTTAATATGAACAAATAATCTCATTAAATCAGTCCCAGCCTCCCATACCTGCAGACATGGCCTCGATCTGGCCATAAAATCAGAAACAAAGAGACACGATTAAGCAAAAGTGTAAATCAGACATATGTTGTGTGATATTTTCTAAGCATTCATCAGAACCACGTGCTCCTTCAGGAAGACCCTGTGTGATTTAGGAAGAACACCTGTGAGAGAGTTTTTGCTGGAGTTGGATGTCGGCCTCTCCCTTTTTTCTTGCCACATGGGATAGTCTTGCAGAAAAGTCTCTGGGAATGAAGATTCTGTTTCATTTATTGACTTTTTCTCTAACAAAACTGGAGAAAGTGGAGATAATGTAGTGAAAACACGTATATTATAAACACAACATCAGTCCCACCCTCTCATACCTGCACACATGGCCTCAATTTAGAATCAGAAACAAAGAGACACAGGATTATGCAAAGGAATGAATCAGATGTTGTGCCCTGTGAGTTGGAGGGAGTTTTGCAGGAGTTGGATTTCGGCCTCTCCCTTTTTCTTGACTTCAAGTCTTAACGTGCTCTGTGGCTTCAGGCTGAAATCCTGGCGCGTTATCACAGGCCTGAGCTGAGTTTGCTTAGAAAATGCACCCCCCCCCAAAACCCCCGCCACCAGACACCTACTATCTCCCCGCCTCAGAGTCCTGCTCCTGGGGAACACAACACACACCTGAAGCTCTCAGATAGTCACACTTCTCCCTCTTTTATGCACACTTTCTCACTAACTTCTACGGCCCAAAAATCTGCTGAATCCTGACACAAACGCTGCCTAAAAGCATGCAATTCCTCCAGGTCATTTTTTATAAATTAACTCCAGGTAAAGTAGACAAATCTGCTCTGTCTCACCACGCTTTTAAATGCATTACTCACCTAAGTTTCTGCTTTAGTTCCCCTGTGAATAAAAAGCTAATCTAAAGACAAAAAGCTTGCAGGTGTCTTCAGAGGACTGACGCCTCGGTGTCCTGTCTCCTCTCTGGCTTTTTTCTCTACCTGATTCAGGTACTAGTGTTTTAGAAGCCTGTGTCGACCAATCAGATTCGAGCACCTGAGTTAAGCCCCACCCCCTTTTTTTCCAGCCGTAAAAAAACCCCCACCACACCCTGCCATGTGGGATAGAGAAAAAGAAGAAGTAATAAACACAGAAATCAAAGTAAAGGTTTAATAAAATCATCGGTAACACTTTATTTTAAGGTACACATCAACTAGTTGTTCATTAACATGCATATTAGCAGTATATTGGCTCTGTATTAGTCAGTATAAACACGCCTTATTCTACATGACCATATTCTACAAGTACTAGGCCATTAGTTAAGAGTTTGTCCTCAAAAACCCTCTAATTAGTGCTTATTTATTGTAAGTAAGGACGTTGTTGTGCATGAGCTTTGGTTTTAAAGGGGACCTATCATGTAAAATGCACGTTGTGATGTCTTTTCTACATCAAGATGTGTCCCCGGTGTGTCGGGGAACTCACGCAGCGTCAGAAAATAAACCCTCTCTCTTTTCCTCCGTACCCAAATCTCTAAAAACGGGGAACAACGGAGCTGATCCAGATTTGCGTCCGATATGACGTAATATCTGAAATGTGGACCCACGGGCCAATCAGAGACGTTGCTATCAGAAACAATGCCCGACTGTTTTGGACGTAATATGGTCGGTGTTTACATTAGCATCGCTAACACTCAGAGCTAACCTGTACTGGAGAGCATGTGTGTGAAGAAGCAGGAAGTAAAAAGGAACTCACCTTGTGGTATAACCGGCAAGAGAGAAAGCCTTTGAGCTCCAAACTGTTTCAGAGAGAATGCTTGATAATCCATGATATGGCGTTTCATCACGGCAGCATTTAGTTTAGACAGTAGCTGCCGGGTCCCGCATGAGCTCAGACCCCTCCTTTTTTAAAGCTTTATACCCAAATCAGCACTTTAGAAACAGGAAGTGAAATAGAGGGATATGAGGCATGGCTAGAATTATCTGTTTGGTATTTTGAGCAAAACACTTCATAGACATGTTTTTTATATATTTTTTTATATCTGAGACCTATGCTATTGCCTACAAATAGCATGATGGGTGACCTTTAAGGTGCTCAATATGGGCCTAATAACTCTCATAATAACACCTAACAAATATGGTCTATTCTTATGTAACAAGACATGAAACTAAAAGTGTTAATTGCGTCAAAATAACTCAAAATGAGGTTTTTCTAACTCAGAATAAGTTCCCTATTTTAAAGTGAAGTATTGTTCATAACCAATAAGCTAGTAGTTTGACTATAATGTGTAAATGAACAACGGTGAATATGTGTACCCTAATCTAAAGTGTTACCAAATCTTCTTTTATCTTTTATTAACATAACACACATCTTGTAAGGCTTT